ACTGAAGAAGGCACCTCTTTCACTCCCTCTTCCTTCTCCTCTGAAGCAAGTTCCTCAGCTGTGGTTTGATGCTGTTCTAGTTGAAGCTCTTGCAGTTCGTCAGTGGTTAGCTCTTCCCTGTGGTCCACCACCAACTCTTCCACATCCTCGCCACTCACCTCCAACCCCATGGACTTGCCCAGTGCCACAATACCTTCCACGACAGGCAGAGGTTTGGCAGGGTCAGGGTCAGGTGACTTCAAAGCCCTTTCAAAAAAGTGATTTGGTGTAGAGTTTCTTGAAGTTAGAAATGACCTGCTGGTCCATGGGCTGGTTGAGAAGTGGTGTTAAGAGGCAGGAACTTCACAGTTATAAAGCTGAGCTCCCCCAGCAACTCATTTTCCAAGCTTGGAGGGTGAGCAGGAGCATTATCCATAAGTAAAAGGGCCCTTAGTGGCAATTGTTTTAATGAGGACTTTGTGGATAGAAGGGTAAACTGGTTACCCATAAAATTCCCAAGCAATTGGACATCACTTTGTTTCTCAAGATTTTGTGAATTTGGGATTATTTTCACCTAGAATCATGCCAAAAGCGAAGCAGATATCTAGAAGGAGGCAGCAGTTAAAGGAGGCAAGGAGTACGAGGAGATTTCGTAGATTAGTCTTATATGAAGAAGCAGAGAGACAGGAGGAGAGAGCCACTGTTGGTGATGCTGGTACCACTGCCACACTATCGTATGTTTTCATGTACAGTAGTTTATTTTTAATTTTTTATTGTAATTCACTTCCATGTATTAAATTTACTCAGTTTTTTATTGTTCATAATCTTGACTGATATTTACTGAATGATAGTTAATATTACAAGGACCCCAATGGAAAGTCACTGACTTTTTGTATTATTCCAGGTAGTTTACATGTTACTGTAAAACCATTGTAATCATGTAAAACTGTGCCTAAATAAGCTTAATCAGCAGCTTCATTCACATAAAAGTGAAGAAACACTGCAATAGGCCTACTGACCATATTAGACATTTCCAAGTCTCATCCACCCACACCCACTCATGTTCCCTTCCAAACTATAATTAAAGTTATCCACTGCTCTTGCCTCAGTGATTCTTCCTGGGAGTTTGTTTTGCTCCTCTACAACTCTCGTCAAACCAGTACATATTTCCCTATATACTTTGTATATCTAAATTTCTCCAACATTAATCCACTGCTGTATCTTTTTTTTTTTTTTTTTTTAACCTGCTTGCTCTCTCTGCCTATTTCTTGCCTCTTGATCAATCTATCCATCCTGGTTGATCAGGCCCTGATCCACTGTGAGGCCTGGTCATTGACCTAGCCATGGGGGCATTGACCCTCGGAACACCCTTCAGGTAGGTTGACCCTGTCAGCTCCTCTTGGTACAGTGGACCCCCGCATAACGATCACCTCCAAATGCGACCAGTTATGTAAGTGCGTTTGTACGTGTATGTTTGGGGGTCTGAAATGGACTAATCTACTTCACAATATTCCTTATGGGAACAAATTCGGTCAGTACTGGCACCTGAACATACTTCTGGAGTGAAAAAATATCGTTAACCGGGGGTCCACTGTATTTGTACATAGTCATATCTGGTTATTCTATCTGTGTCATCAGGTTTAGCTCCTTTAGTCCTGTTTCATAGCTCATACCCCTTAGTTCCAGGACTACTTTCATTACAAAACTTTATACAGTGGACCCCCGGCTTACGATATTATTTCATTCCAGAAGTATGTTCAGGTGCCATTACTGAACGAATTTGTTCCCATAAGGAATATTGTGAATTAGATTAGTCCATTTCAGACCCCCAAACATACACGTACAAACGCACTTACATAAATACACTTACATAATTGGTCGCATTGGGAGCTGATTGTAAAGCGGGGGTCCACTGTATTTTTTAAAGTTTATTGAAATGACAGATATATTTCACCATGCTATAATGTTTGTACAAAGATGAGTGGCATTTGGATGTGTGGATTTGTATGCAGAAAGCCCAGTGTCATGCAAAGCATTTCAGGGAAGTTTAAGCCTAACTTTAGACTGCAATTGTGATTTTTACACTGGTGCTGCCTCTGCAGGATGGGCCCGATATATGCTGTATTTTTTTTTGTTCTTAAACTGGTAGTCTCCCCCGAGGCAGTGTGACCTAAGAAAGAAGAAACATTCACCATCACTGTCTTGGCAGAGGGTCACCAATACTACAGTTCAAAACTGCAAATATCCCCACCCCTCCTTGATATGTATAGGTTGTATATAATATAGTGTGTAACTTCTTGCTGAGGTTTCTGAAAGCTGATCTTGGATTTGCCAGATGTATTTCCTGGAGATTCTCCTTGAAGATGCAGACAAAAATATAGCTATAAGAGATGATGATGGAAGGTTGTGGCTGAAGATTATATCTGGAGCTGGGACTTGTATTAATAAGTATTGTTTACCTTGCAGGTAAGCAAGAGTTACCTGCCCATCAAGGGACAATTGGGACACCAGTAAGGCAAGTGTGTTTTTTACACCAGTTATCACTGACATGTTTTCCACTGTTGACATGTAGAACTTAAACAAATATTCACAGTGAGGAATAAAATCATGACTGCTACTGGTCTAAAGAAATACTAGATGGTTGAAATGCTCACCACTGTGACAGCAACCACTTGAATGCAACTTGGCCAAAGTGGTCAGGCCACTTTCTCTCCTGGTCAACCCCAAAAAATTTTCTCTTGTATCCTACCAAAAAAAAATCCTCTCCTGTCTTGTTATCTTTCTTTAGGCTTCATCCCCCCAAAAATATACATGTATATACATTAGACCCTCATACAAGATGGTTATGATCCTGAAAAAGGTGTTGTGCAATATGTGCTAATCAAGCTCAATAATGTGGAAGAAAACTTAAGCTTGTTACGTTCCTTGGACCCCCAGAAATGAGTTTTTTTTTTTTCACAAAAAATAATTAAAAACTTCAGACACATTCCATTGTAGATGATGCTTGTTTATCTAAAAAAAATCCTAAATAAAAATTTGGTTAATAACCTCAAGAAGGACCAGAGCTGGTAGAGGATGCTGGTTTGAAGCAGTATTATATACAGTACCATCTATTTCTTCCAGAGAAGATGTATGGACATGGCAGTCCATCAAAAGAAAACAGTGAGGACTAATTTGTTGCCAGTGACTATTATAAATTTGGAGTTATGGTGAGCAGCAACCTTAAGCCAGCACAGCAATGTTGGACCATACTTAATAAGGATAACAGATTACCGAGATTTACAGAGGTACATACAGTACAAGCAATAAGAGTCCAGAAGTTATACTACAGTTCTGTGTATCATTAGTAAGGTCTCACTTTGATTATGCTGCTCAGTTCTAGTCTCCCATATGTTGTCCTATGGCCTGTTGGCAATGCTCTTGCCTCACACACTGAGTGTCTGTGTTTCGATCTCTGGCCAGGGGACCTATTGTCACTATTCACTTAGCAGTAAGTAGGTACCTGGGTTATAGTCAGATTGGTGTGGGTCACATCCTGGAGGACTCCCTGAACTCTCCCTGAACCATGAGCTTTATCGTACCTCTGTGTATATATGTATAAGTGTGTACATGTATGTGTAGTGTGACCTAAGTGTAAGTAGAAGTAGCAAGATGTACCTGAAATCTTGCATGTTTAAGACAGAAAAAAGACAACAGCAATCCTACCATCATGTAAAACAATTACAGGGTTCCATTTCACACTCATTCGGCAGGACAGTAGTACCTCCCTGGGTGGTTGCTGTCTACAACCTGCTACACTTGCAGAAATAAATATTTGTTTGGGAGTGTTAAGTGTTTTAATAGATATTATAAGTTTGTCTTGTTTGTAGGCCTTATCTGCCATGTGCAAGTAATAAGTTTTTCAGGTCTCTTACATAAGTTTGGGTTTCAAAAATTATTTATATAGTAACATGCATTTAAATTACCTTTACCTAGGATTAAAAAGGTGAATTATTTCCATTGGGGTCATTGCATTGCATAACTGTTAGATACATGAATATATCAAATGTATGAAAGTTATTTATGAATTATGTACATTGCACATATACATTCAGACATTCATTCATATACATGCGTGTGCACTGAAATGTTTGTAATTGTGCATTTTTCTGTATAATTTTTTTTAACTTGTGTATTGAATTTTCTGACTTGGGTACTGTAGCTTATCAATTTTATTTTGTATATTGGTGCTATTTGTGCTTGAAAGCTGTTAGCTGTTAAAATTAATGAGTAATAAGAAAGTCTTGTACTTTCTTTGGCAACTTATTTTATATTATCAAATATATTATCAAATATGGGGAAGTGGAACAGAATTCTTCCTCCGTAAGCCGTGGTGTCATAGAGGGACTAAATGCCGGACAAGGCCTAGTAACCCTCCTGTAACAGTGGACCCCGTAACGACTTTTTCATTCCAGAAGTATGTCAGTCCCAGTACTGACCGATTTTTTCCATAAGGAATATTGTGAGATTATCATTTCAGACCCCCAAACATACACGTACAAACGCACTTACATAAATACACTTACATAATTGGTTGCATTTGGAGGTGATCGTTAAGCGGGGGTCCACTGTATATTACTAAATATAAAAGGAGAAACTTTCATTTTTCTTTTTGGGTCACCCCGCCTCCGTGGGATACGACCGGCATGTTGAAAGGAAAGAAATATGGTGTTCAAGTATTTTAACAATGTAAAACAAATATTTTTGGGAAATCTAACACAAACGGAGAATAGTCCATTAGAGCAGTATTTGATGCCGTCATTATTATGCTCAATTTCTAAGTAATTTCTTGGATACCTGCCTGTTTATGCTTATTAATTATTGTTGCAGATAGCACCAATCATTTATCATAAATATTTGATAATGTTCACTATTTTTTATTTATTCAGGATAAGAAAGTTTTGTTTCTTGGGGTCGCCCTGCCTTGGTGGGAGACGGCCAGTGTTAAAAATAGAAATTAATGTGTTATGTTTGTGTTTCAGAGAGTTGCCAAGTGTTTCAACTCAGCAGCAGCAGCATAGTGTTGAGTCGAGTGATGGGGAAGTTTTACACAGCGGCAGCCTCCGTGATATCCATCCACAACCAGAAACTTGACCTGTTTAATTCGCATTCTGGTTCTGAGATGTTGACCATGTCTCAGGACAAGAGGAAAGACCATCTGAAGATGCTCATTGCTAGGCAACAAGAAAAAATAAGACAAAAGCTCCCAGGTACACCTGCCGCCATGACTGTCTTAGCCAACACTTCTGCTAACACCAGCCCTGTAATTGAAGTACTTGACAACAAGACATTTTACACGTGTGAAAATGAAGCTACATTTTTGGAAGACACTGACACCCTTGAAGACGACGGGGATCAGGACATTGTGTCTCAAACACTGAAGAAAAGGAAAGATCTTGCAAAACTCTTTTCCTCGTCTGGATTACTAACGAAAAGAAGACGGATGTTACCAGCAAAAATATACAAAAATAATGCATTATCTGCTGATGCCACAAGTAACGTGGCCCAGCAAGCAACATATCCATTGGGAATTACAGACGAGTCTGCAGAAAACGATTCGCTAGTCATGACGATGTACTCTAACTTGTTGCAAATAGCTAAAGATAATTGTTATAACTGTGGTTCAGAAGAGATGATTCCTGATTTTGTAACTCGTGGTCAAGAACTATTTGTAACTGTGTCTTGCAATAAATGTAACATTGTGACTAATGCTGCAACTCATAAACTCGGTGAAATAAATAGACAGACATGTTTGAATATTTATGCTGAACTTTTGAATGGTGGCGGCTACCAAAATTTTGTGAAATATAATGATTTAAGGGAGAACCTTGATCTAAATACATTTAGAAAGTTTACACGATTCATTACTGAGAGAGCCGTTGCAGAGTGTAAGAAAATATTGCAAGAAAGTCGTGACAGTGTGTTTGCTGAGTATGCAAAGAATGGAATACTACCAGACAATAACGGAGTACTTGATGTTAATGTGTCGTTTAACGTTACCTGGCAGAGTCGTGACTTTTACACAAAGATGGGGTTATGTGTAGTAACTGAAGCAGATACTGGCCTCGTTCTTGACTATCAAACATTGACAAAGTATTGCAACCGTTGTTCAAACCTACATACCTTGTACAACGATAAGAAAATAACCACAGAGCATTTTTTGTTACAACGTGCAAAGCATGAACCAGTTTGTAAGATTTTTGATGCTAGTAGTTCAAGTGATATGGAAGCTAGAGCAGCTGAGGCGATATGGGGACGATCATTAACTTATAACATGCGATACTTGAATCTCATTAGTGAAGGTGATGTTACTCCATATACAGTACTTAACAATATGAACAATGGTCTAGGTCCTTATTTTGGTCCTAAAGTGAATGAAGTGGAGTGGGTGGACCACTATGCGAAAAGACTGAAAAGCCGTCTAATAAAATTGATTGAAGAAAATCATGTTGTCAGGGAAATAAATGGGAAGAAAACTAAAATGTTTTTAATGAAAGGAAAGGGAAAACTCTCAGATGATGTTGTTGATAAATTAGTTTATTATTTTGGTCGAGCAATAAAGGAGTCCATTGGAACGAGCATAGAAACAATGAGAAATGCCATCTTAGCAAGGTATTTCCATTGCACATCATCAGATGCAGAGCCAAATCATAATTTATGTCCTACTTCCAAATCATCTTGGTGCTTCTACAATAAAGCCATTGCCAAAAATGTGGAAATACCCTCGCACAGCACTATGAAAGTTGTAGTCCATTTAAAGCCAGCCCACCATGAACAAGTGTTAAGAGTTTACAAGGACTTGACCGAGGATGATATGATGCAACGTTGCTTAGACGGACTAACCAAACGTCCCAATGAAAATTTCCACCAGAGAGTATGGACTTATTGTCCAAAGGGGCAGTACAGAAACAAGAGGAGTCTAGATTTAGCAGTTGCACAGGCAACAGCAGAATATACATGTGGATATCGTGGAGGCAGCCTTGACACTGCTTCTGGGTTTCAACGCAATGCTCATACACACCTGTTCCTGAAAAAACAGGACAATAATGTGAAGGACTGGCAAAGGTGAGTTGTTCATGAGTGTTTTACAGTATGCAAAGTTTGGGTATTTTTTTCAGTTGGTATCATTTTGTGATAGTGAGTGTTTATTTCAGTTGTTTGGCAGAGTTGGGTGGTGGCTTATAGCTTACAGTGTATAATAGTTATTTTTTTTTTTAATGGACCATTTTTTGGGGGGTAAATTATAAAAAAAAAGTGCTTTTGCAAAGTCTGTATGCTTCATCTGCATTTTGCTTGCCTTCTGCTGTATGTAGGATCATGCTGTAGTGGTTGGCAACTTTGAGAGGCAGGAGCGACTTGCTCTAACTCCATGCTGACCTAGGTTATGTAATTGAGTTTTCATGTGATAAGCCATCTTGCTGCCACTTTTGAGGAGCGAGGCAATGCCAGGGGGGTTTAACCCTTTCACTGTCTTGCGTAAATCTACATTATTGATACCATTGTTGCTCATGCAGATCTATTTTAAGCAGTGCCCTCAGATATGCTACATTTTGTAAATTTTGGCCTAGACAGAGAATGGGAATGTTCTGTGGGTGGGCACAGTATGAAAAAATTCCTGCCTCATGTGGTGCATCATAGGAAAAGCAAACCTCTGATCTTGTTTGGTTTAAAATAGCAGTTTGTGGTGTTTTCTGTGATTTTTTTTCTTGGTATTAATTGATAGTGGAAATAGATAATTTTGGTTGGTTTCAGGACCAGAAGTACAGTAAATTGAAATGGGGTATCAGAGTAAATTTTTGACAATTTTCTTGATGGGGTAAGACCCCTAACACTCCGGGTCCATTATGATTTTTTCTAACTCTGCTTCAATTATTGGGATGCCCTAAACCATGACTAGTCTTCCCCAATTATATTTTATTACCTGAGCAATAGGGTAAAACTTCAGTAATCACTGTGATGATGGATTCAAAATAGAGGGCAAATGTATTACGGAAAAGGCCTGAGGATGTGATTAATGACCAGAGGATAGGTTGCTTTAGTGCTTGGAATGCTTACCATGTTTAATTTGGATTTCATTTTTAAATCTGATTTTGTTGAATTTAGTGGAAAGTTGGCCAAATTATTGATGACTTGGCACTTTGTAGGGCAGTTATGAGAGCTGAATGGGCAGTTATCTGTGCTCATTTGATAGAACGGAGTCATACTAGCAAAATAGCTAAGAATTTGATTGCATTGAGCAGTGGAATTGACATTAAATAAAACTCCAAGTGGGTAAAATTGCCAATTCATAAATTGTACCCAGACTGCCAACTTTGCATATGCAAAATTATGCTCAGAGAAGCAGAGATGCTTGCAGGTATGGTGGAAGCTAGGTGCTTGTAGCCAAGCAAGCTTTATTGAAGCTATTTCACTCAATGGTGAACTTTTAATGCCATAACTTGAAAAAACTCACTTTTAAATACAATACCTGAATAAAAGCTTGCTCTGCTTTTTGTTCTAACATAGAAATACTGTATATAGTTAATAACAAATAGTCTCTTTGATTTGATGTGCTGGAGTGTGAGCAAGGCAACATTTATGAAAGGATTCAAGGAAACTGGCAGGCTGGATTTGTCCTGGAGATGGGAAGTACAGTGCCTGCACTCTGAAGGACGGGTGTTAATGTTGCAGTTTTATAACTGTAGTGTGGGCATGCTTCTAGCAAGACAGTGATTAAGTGAATGATGATGAAAGTGTTTCTTCTTTTCCAGGTCACCCTACCTTGGTGGGAAACGGCTGATGTCTTAAAAAAAAAAAAGGTTAACTACATGTACAGTATCACCATGGGGAAGTGGAGAAGAATTCTTACTCCGTAAACCATGCATGTCTTAAGAGATGACTAAAATACCCGGAGCAAGGGCCTAGTAATCCTTTCTGTATAAGTTACTAAACCAAAAAAAAACTGTTTCTTCTTTTAAGGCTGCCCTGCCTTAGTGGGAGACCGTTGCTGTGTTAAAAAAATAAAATGTACATTATGTTTTTACAAGACCTGTTTTATGTTCATTATGTTATTCATTATACAAAGCTCATAATGTTACTAGGTGATGTTTTCAGTTGCTTGTAAATGTTTTATGATTGTTCATATGTCAGAGCAGTCTTGATAAGCGCTAACATTAGTCTCTCCCACACAGGATAATGTTGGTCTGTGACCGCTGTGAAATGAGGTATGTTGATGAGACTTGCTGTGCTGTCATGTGTTCATTGTGTGTTAAGGAGGAAGGAATCCGATCATCTCATCTAGATAATAAATGTCGATCATGTGGATTAATCTATTGTCTAGATGGTAAGTTAATAATTATTCTATTACTTTTGTATATTTTTTATTTGAGCTGTCCCATAAGATAGCCCTTGGCTTAGAACTTTCCACCTTTGATTTTATAATTACTGTGGTGTCTGTAGGGCCCCTCAAGACTTAGAGAAGCTTTTGATATTCTTATTTTAATGTTTTTAATTTATGCTGATTGTTTTAATTTGATTGTGTTTCTTTTCATTGCTTTCATTAATTTTATCCTTGTTTTTTATTGTGATGTATATACAGTATATATATAAAAATTCCCAGTGCCATGACTGGAACAATATACGGATAACCCACGATAACGTTTTGGTCCGACGTGGACCATGGTGTGATTAGTTAATGGTCTAAGTTGGACTGAAATGTTACTGTGTGGGTTATTTGTATACAGTGTATATACATACATATATTGTTTTATGACCGTGAGTGTTGAGTGGCCGATGCGGTCAGTGCTTTATAAATTTTGTAAGTACAGCCTCTTCTCACTTAATGACGGAGTTCCGTTCCTAAGACCACATCGGTAAACGAATTCGTCATGGAGCAAGGAGCATACTCTAATGGTAGTGGGTTTGTGTTAACCATCTTTGATATTGTTTTAATGTCACCTTTGCACCATTTGTAACATTATTAGTATATTTTTAAATGTTTGTACAGTAGTGTACTGTATGTTGTAATAAACACAATAGAGAAATCAGCTCTAATGTACATTATTTAGGTATGCTTACTGGTCAGAGCCCATTGTAAGTCCGAGCCGTCAGTAAATGAGTATGTCACTAAGTGGGGAGAGGCTGGACTTCTCTATTTTTTAACAGGTATTTTTCCTAATAAATGAGTTGTTTATTCCTAAATACATAATTTTTTTTTCTTCCTAGGAGAGTCTGTGTGTCCAGGATGCTCTTTCATTCCTTATGGAGAGTTTGTGTGCTACAAATGTGATCTGGTGACAGACAATCTCTTGTTACACGAGTGTAAACTTGGTAAGATATTTATAGTGTGTATTCTGAACGTTTTTACATGTCTCTGAAGCCTTGATATGCTTGCATACCTACATTCCTTTCTTATGGTTTCACTTATCGCTTCAAAGAGATTTCTTAACTGACACTTGATTTATCATCTTTGACCTCCATCCTTCCAGCTGTTATCCTTCCCTCAAATTATTTACCTCCTCCCCTTCTACCATCTTTTGTGAATGAAATATTTGGACATTCTTGAGCATTTGTCATTTGTGTGCATATTACTTATTGTTTCATTAAAGTATACAATAATTGAGGGTGAGAGGATAATTTCATTGGCAAAGGCAATGTTTAGTTTGGTATGTATCTGCTGAGGATGCATACTCCATGTGTTTATGGCTTAGCTGAAGTCATGCAGTAGTAGTAGTAACCAAGAATTTGGATTTTGTTGTATGTTCAATAGTCATTTGGATTTTGTTGTATGTTCAGTAGTCATTTGGATTTTGTTGTATGTTCAGTAGTCATTTGGATTTTGTTGTATGTTCAGTAGTCATTTGGATTTTGTTGTATGTTCAGTAGTCATTTGGCTCCTTCCACACAGTGGAATGATAGTTGGGTGTACTGGTGTAAATCTCACTCTTGTTTAAAGTTTAAAATGTTCAGTTCTACATTGGCTCAGTAGGCATCACTCTTGCCTCTCACACTGATTATCTGGGGTTTAATCCCTGACATGGCGAAATATTGGGCGTGTTTCTTACACCTCCTGTCCCTGTTCACCTAGTAGCAAGTAGGTTCCTGGTTGTTGACTGGTGTGGGTGGCATCCTGGGGATGAGATTGAAAGACCCCAATGGAAATAAAACAGATGGTCCTCAATGACTTTCTTAGATTTTCCTGGGTGGTTAACCCTATGGGTAAAAAATTTGAACAAATCTTATCTTAGGTACACTATGTCAATACCATCAATGTGAAGTAAAAAACACATTTGCAACACAGGCTTTTTTATTAGTAAGGAAATGTTTTTTACCCTGTAGGGGCTTTTAGTCCAGTAGATTGTAGTGGCTTCCAAGCACCACATCTTCAGTAAGTAATCCTCTTTTAAACCACACCACAGGCGGGGATAGAACCCGCGATCAGAGAGTCTCTAAACTCCAGACCTTCGCGTTAGCGACTGGCTAACGCCAGCTCCAGCTTATTTCGTAAAGTGCCCATGTGTGCTGTGATTTATCACACATTTTGATTGTTAAGGCTGTATATGTGTTCCTTAATATGTTTTTCCAGGTTTTTTTTCTTGCCTATGTTCAGTATACATTATTGTACCTCGTATAAAATATTCTGTGCACCAGCTCCAGAATTGAATGTTTTGATAAATTTTTTATTTATAAAAAGTTTTTAATGATTGAGATAGAGCTCACTGTTGCAATAAGTTTACTTTCTATTATGGTAGGAATGTTGCTGGATACATTGTTGATGAGGAGGAGAGGAAGGTCACAATGTATCTAGTGTTGTTAATAATGTGAAGGGTGAGGTAAGTTCAGCATGTTAGGTATGGTGGGAATCAAAGAAGGCTGAATACTCAGTGTAGTCACATTTCTCATTTAGGAACTGTAGGCTGACAATCCCAAGGTTACAGGTATGTAATCTCTCAAAAGACATACAATGCTTCTCTTGGTTCTTGTCATGGTGGGAATGTAAGTGGTAGTAAATATGGGCATTATATGAAATGAGATGAAGCTAGCTTCGTAATGAAATAGGGCAGCCAAGAAAAGTTCTGAATGGAAGTTGCTGTGGTAGCAGTAACAGGCGGACAAAAGTAGAGGAATTCATCCATTCGACTGTAACTTCCAGATAATTGTCTGGAAGTTAGCCAAATGGCCGAATACAGGTGCTCCTGGACTTATGAAGGTTCAACTATTTGATGGTGTACGTGCAATTAATTATTTTGGTGATGAAACTCAAGTTAGTTACTCAGCATGAAGGCGGCAAGTCCGTAACTTGTATTCACTCGTTCACTTTTCAGTACTGATATTTAGTTACGGTAATTATTTCTTTATTTACTTATTCAGTCACAGTAGTTATTTATTTACTTGTTTAGCATATATTCAACTTATTTTTGACTTACGACTGGTTCATCAGTTTGTAAATTCATTGTAAATTGAGCTCCTATGGGGCAACCATTGTACCTGAGTTTTGGAAGCTAGGATGTAATGTCTATATGTAAAACAGAATGGGGACAGCATCAAAGGTTGCTAGAGATCAATGTACGTACAAAGTTTCTTGAGATTACCTTGCTTAGGTGGGAAAAACACTTTTAAAGATTAATACTATACAGTGGATCCCCGCTTTACGATCAGCTCCCAATGCGACCAATTATGTAAGTGTATTTATGTAAGTGCGTTTGTACATGTATGTTTGGGGGTCTGAAATGGACTAATGTAATTCACAATATTCCTTATGGGAACAAATTCGTTCAGCACTGGCACCTGAACATACTTCTGGAATGAAATAATATCGTAAACCGGGGGTCCACTGTACATTAGTTTTTAAGAAAACGTGTATACTAGTATAATTTTACATTACAGGTGAAGAGAAGCAAGAAGAAAATTTACTGTATGATTCAAAAATTTCAAGTCCAGTTAAACTGCTAGATGAAAATACAGCTATGGAGGACTCGGCTCCAACTCTAAGTGTTTGGACTGGCTTACAGTGTAATAACAGCAATAAAGGTGATGATGAAAGCCTAAAAGTAAAGGACAAAGCAAATGATTATCCTGGTATTTCTTGTCCCACTAAATTGGAAATTGAATTCACGAAAGAATTCTGCGAAGAAGAAATGGTACATGAAGATGCGAGTTTGGAACATCGGATTGTTTCTCCAAACTTTCAGAGAGATAAGGAAGGAAAGTTGCCCAAAAGTGGTAAGAATTCAGTGAAATTATTTTTGAGGCCATAACACTTTTTTTTTTCTAAGTTACTCTTAACAATAGGATTTACTGATGTTGATTTAAGATTCTAACAGAGCATAGTAATTGATGATAAATTAGACATGTGCAACATCTGGGTATGTTTACTAAGTAGATGTTTTGCCAACTAGTGGCATTACCAATACAATACAGAAGACGAGTGGTAGAAGATGAGGAAATCAATCCCTCATCCTAGAATCAGGTGGTCAGTACTGTAGTCTTTGAATCCAAAGCATTGGCAGGAAGAAGTGGGCTTATATACTGGAGTCTAAGGAGATGAAGTTATTGTCACTAGTAAGTGGGATTTCCCAGTGGAAGTAGGTCATGTGTCTAATTTATCTTGTTGATATTGTGTATCATTGATATTGTAATGATGGATTATTAAAAAAAAATCAGTACAGATAAACTGAAATTTGTGTGGGTTAGGTTCCTGAAGGCATGAGAATACGTAAGCTTCAGATTTTTTTTTTTTTTTTTAACAAGTCGGCCGTCTCCCACCGAGGCAGGGTAACCCAAAAAGAAAGAAAATCCCCAAAAAGAAAATATTTCATCATCATTCAACACTTTCACCTCACTCACACATTATCACTGTTTTTGCAGAGGTGCTCAGAACACAACAGTTTAGAAGCATATACTTATAAAGATACACAACATATCCCTCCAAACTTCTAATATCCCGAAACCCCTCCTTTATAGTGCAGGCATTGTACTTCCCATTTCCAGGACTCATATCCGGCTATATAAAAATAACCGGTTTCCCTGAATCCCTTCACTAAATATTACCCTGCTCACACTCAACAGATCGTCAGGTCCCAAATACCATTCGTCTCCATTCACTCCTATCGAACACGCTCATGCACGCCTGCTGGAAGTCCAAGCCCCTCGCCCACTAAACCTCCCTTACCCCTTCCTTCCAACCTTTTCGAGGACGACCCCTACCCTGCCTTCCTTCCCCTACAGATTTAAATGCTCTCCATGTCATTCTACTTTGATCCATTTTAATTTATAAGTTTGATATGTAGATTAGAGCAAGGATTTGTGGGGGGCATAAATAGCAAGTATGACTTGCTGCTGTTGACAGAGCAACCTGTCACTTTTCTGTTGGTAAATGAATATTCCTCTCATTTGCATATGGTCACTTGTTTTAAAAGTTTTAAATTTCAACTTTAGTAAACACACAGCTGTAACCCTTTAGTCATGAAGGTCATGGATCAGTGATTTGCAGTCAGACTTCTAGACCCTGCAAGTTGATCTTTTCTTGGCTACCTGAAATGTTGTCAACATCTTGGGCAGTGCTTAGATATCTCAGATACAGAAGTGAAATTTGAACCCATCAACTGCTGCCATCTGGGAGCCAGAATAAAATCTATTCCCATTTCCATGTCCACGTGTCCTGCTGCTTTTTCGAGTCGCCCTACCTTGGTGGGGAATAGTTAGCTAGACTAGTTCTAAAGATGAGAAGTACAGTGCCTGTAATCTGGAGGAGGGGGTGAGAATGTTAATTTGCAGGGCTGTCTGACTTGTGATGTCATCATACTTCTGGAAAGGCTGAATGAGTGATGGTGATGAAAGTTTTTCTCTCTGTTGCGTTTTAGTCATTACCCTACCTCATTGGGAAATGTCTGGTCTTTCTTTCTTTCAACGCACCGGCCGTATCCCACCGAGGCAGGGTGGCCCAAAAAGAAAAACGAAAGTTTCTCTTTTTAAATTTAGTAATTTATACAGGAGAAGGGGTTACTAGCCCCTTGAAATGTCTGGTGTGTTAGTTAAAAAAGGAAGAAATCTCCAATGCATTCATAGTAATTAACCCTTTGACTGTTTCAGGCCCCTTTCTGAAACTCATTCTATGTCGATAAATTTTTGAAGAAAAAGAAAAATTTTTTTTTATGAAATGATAGAGAAGCTTTTCCCGATGGTAATGACACCAAAAGTTCGAAATTTGGTTGAAAACTCATGGAATTACGCTCCCGCGAAGTTAGCGGTCTCGGCGACATATGCGTATCGGCGATTTCGCTGACTTTGAGCCCTATTTTCAGCCAATTCCGTTGTTCCAGTTGACCAAACTTAGCTATTTCTTTAGAACTCCATTTTATCTATCAGCTGAGTACAAGAAACCTCCCATTTACCAATTTGGACTACCCAATATGGTGGTCAGAAATTAGCAATTTGGCCAATTTCACGCAAACTAAAAAAGATGCCAATTTCAAAATAGGGTCCAGAATAAACAAGGTAGACATTCTTGGCACTAAAATAACATATCCTCTGTTCATTAGTCACATCTCTAGGCCCCTCTTATATTATTATTGCTTTCTATTTTGATTTTTTAATCGTACAAAAAATACAAAATTTACTGTTATGCAGACTACTGCATTATTGTAAAAATGGTATAAATAATATCAGTGCACTAGTGAAAGAATATTAGACTCCCCAGTTGACGTGTATTGGACGTGTGGTGTGATTTGTTTACTCCTGAACATTGGTAAAAATCGAACATTTCCGCTACTTTGAGCTCAGTTTCAAGGTCGTTTTCATCGTCAAAGTAATGAAAATCATCTCTGTTTCTGTAATGTTTTCCATTTTATCACCTAAGACCATGAAAACGCAAATACATCGATAAATACTCTACGAAAATACACCTCAAAGTTGGCGTTTTAATCCAAAAAAACGATCAGTTTTTTTTCTCATTACGCACTGTGTGTTGCAGGATTTTTTTTATATGGTGCACACTGACCACACAGACCCATTCTCTCACATGTGGGCCTACCAGCTTTCTTCCGCTTGATTTGAAGCCGCTAGAATTATTGAGTATATATATGTCAGAAACAGTGGTGCGTAAGACATATTTATACGGCGTAAACAGTCAAAGGGTTAAACTGTAAAATACTATAAATATACGTAGTACACTATTTAATGTTAAGAGTACTTGAATGCTGAACCTGTCTTGCTCATTGGAAGGATGTTTCTTGCTTGTTCTGGGCTGACTCAGAGCATTAGATTGAAAATCTGGGCATTTTTCTGAGGTTATATAAACTGTGGTGTTTGGTAGAGTAATAGCAACTTTGGAGGTTGACGTTATTAGTTTCTTTTTTTTTCATAAATTTCTCAGTAGGCAGTAAGGGCGATTGAACATTAAAATGGTATAAAATACCGACAGGTTGTAAGGTAAGACACATATGCAACAGTTAGGTATCTTTATTTCGAAACGTTTCGCCTACACAGTAGGCTTCTTCAGTCGAGTACATAAGAGTTGATAGCTGAATACTTGAAGTCGATGTAATCAGCCATCACACTTAAGTTTTAGGTGTCATCCTCAGTCTTGAAGACATTGTTCCATGTTTGAACATATAGGACTGAAGTGACAAGACTTAAGGTTTATAGCGCATAGATGATCAAGTAGTCACTAGGAGAGGCTAAGAACTCAGATGTTGAAGACAGGTCCTTCAATCAACCTCTATAGTGCAGAACGGCTGTTTGAGAGGGAATGTACCTACCGAACATCTGAGTTCTTACCTCTCCAGTGACCTAGTTTCATCTTGGCTATATTAACCTCAGATCTGTCACTTTATCTTATTTTTCTCCAGTGGAACAATGTCTTCTCCAGACTGAGGGACTGACCACCTCAAAACTTTAAGGGTGATGGACTGATTACATCGACTTCAAGTATCTTCTGCTTCTATCAACTCTTATGTACTCGACTGAAGAAGCCTACTGTGTAGGCGAAACGTTTCGAAATAAAGATACCTAACTGTTGCATATGTGTCTTACCTTACAGGCAGTAAGGGCATTATTCATTTATTTTGGAAATATTGACCAACTTTTATTTGTTTGGATCTTCTTTCTCCAGTGGTGAAAGTCTATACTGTATCCTCTTGCATGCCCCGGCCATGATTTTGGTATCAACTGGCTTTTTTTTTTTTTAACATGTCGGCCGTTTCCCACCGAGGCAGAGTGACCCAAACAGAAAGAAAAAAACTTTCATCATTACTTGTATATAATCACTGTCCTTGCAGAGGCGCTTAGATACGACAGTTTAGATGTCACTCCAAACAGCCAATATCCCAAATCCCTCTTTTAAAGTGCAGGCATTGTACTTCCCACATTAATATAATTTTGCATTTCAGGTGAAGAGAGGCAAGAAAGTGTATCACATAGCTTGGGAATTTTGAATCCAGTGGAGCTGCATGCTGAAAACACAGCTAAGCACGACTCGACTCGAGTTACTACTGTTTGGACAGGCTTACAGTGCAATAGTAGAACTAATATCAGTGAAGGTGAAAACCTGAAAGTAAAAGAGGAAGTAGATGATTATTCTAATCTTTCTCATTTTGATGTAGAAAATGAAGTCACAAAAGAAGAGTTCTACGATGAAGAAAATACAAGAAATTTAAATGCAAACTTGAATGTTCCGGGACAGCCTGTTTTTCTCAGCTCTCGTGAAGTTAATGAAAAGTCCTCAAAACAAGGTATGAATCTTCCTGGGCTATGAAACATTTTCTTGATTTTTGCTTTCTCTCAAACATTCCAGTAGGAACTACAGGCAATGATTTCCAACCCTAACAAAGCATGGTACACTATGAACAAAATGACACAATACTGTGACTGGAATGACACAAATAATAATCTGCATGTGGGAGAAGGAAACGGTATTGTCCCTTTTTGTTATTTGTTGAGAAGGAAACGTGTGTGGGCTATTTGTGTACAATATATTGTCATGACTTGGATTCAAAGTAGGTAGTAGGTTGGTAGACAGCAACCGCCCAGGGAGGTACTACCGTCCTGCCAAGTGAGTGTAAAATGAAAGCCTGTAATTGTTTTACATGATGGTAGGATTGCTGGTGTCTTTTGTCTGTCTCATAAATATGCAAGATTACAGGTAAGTCTTGCTACTTCTACTTACACTTAGGTCACACCACACATACATGTACAAGCATATATATACACACCCCTCTGGGTTTTCTTCTATTTTCTTTCTAATTCTTGTTCTTGTTTATTTCCTCTTATCTCCATGGGGAAGTGGAACAGAATTCTTCCTCTGTAAGCCATGCGTGTCGTAAGAGGCGACTAAAATGCCAGGAGCAAGGGGCTAGTAACCCCTTCTCCTGTATATATTACTAAATTTAAAAGGAGAAACTTCAGTTTTTTCTTTTGGGCCACCCCACCTCAGTGGGATACGGCTGGTACGTTGAAAGAAGAAGAATTGGATTCAAATTGTTAAGGCTTTATTTTTAACTGTGCAGTTGTAATAAACTTGACAACAGCATTTGTGAGAATGGGCATCATGAGGCACTAGCAGAGTATTTGAGCATGCTGCAGCACCCCACCTGCGACTAACCTTATTCTTATCCTCATATATGTACTTACAATCATAATTTTAAGGCTGCCTGAAATAGTTTGCATAACAAAGGGCTTCTGAAAAGCAGTTATGCCAATCACCCAAATTGTATACCATACTTTATTCTGCCTTATAGAAACAGTTTGTTTACTTGTAATGTTACAAATTAGTTTAACCTTTATACTATCCAAACGTAGATCTACGTTTACATGCTTTCTTATGGAGAAAATCAAGGTCGGAGCACTACGCGCAAAAACGTAGATCTACGTTTGGACAGTTGAAGGGTTAATATCTTTATGGAGCACTACGCGCAAAAACGTAGATCTATGTTTGGACAGTTGAAGGGTTAATATCTTTATTATGCACTCCATACCCATCCTGTGGGCAGTAGTCAGAAGATTACAGAGGTACATAATGGGTCCAGGGACTGGACTGCAAAGTTTTAATAGCTAAAAATGTTAATGTTAATGTACTATTTAAGTGTTTGGTCACAATTGTAATGAGTTATTTATACAGGCAGGAAGACAATATCTGGACTGTGTATAAAGTCAAGGACAGAGTACCATGTTCCCCATAAAATAACAGGCAATTTTTTCCAAGTACAGTGGACCCCCGGTTCGCGAAGTTATCGGTATCCAATAAATCCGGTATCCAAAGCATTATATCGCAAAAAATTTGTCTCGGTTCCCGTTACAAAACCCGGTATGCAATACGATTCGTATGAGACGTGTCCACGTGTGGCCTGAACTGCCCCGTGTGTGCCAGTGTTTACAAGCCAGCCAGTGTGCACGCAGCTAAGGATACATTCGGTACATTCCATATTATCCATATTATCACTGTTTTTGGTGCTTGTTTCTGCAAAATAAGTCACCATGGGCCCCGAGAAAGCTTCTAGTGCCAACCCATCGAGACCAAGGGTGCTAATGACTATTGATATGAAGAAAGAGATAATTGCAAGGTATGAAAGTGGAGTGCGTGTGTCGGACCTGGCCAAGTTGTATAGTAAATCCCAATCAGCCATCTCTACTATAGTGAGCAGGAAAACGGCAGTCAATGAAGCTGTTCTTGCAAAAGGTGCAACTGTGATTACAAAACAGCGATCACATGTTAGAAAATGTTGAAAGACTGTTATTGGTGTGGATAAATGAAAAACAGATAGCAGGAGATAGCATCTCTCAAGCGATCAATTGTGAAAAGACTAGGCAGTTGCATGAGGATTTAATTAGAAAAATGCCTACAACTAGTGGTGATGTGAGTGAATTTAAGGCCAGCAAAGGTTGGTTTGAAAGATTTAAGAATCGTAGTGGTATACATAGTGTGATTAGGAATGGTGAGGCTGCCAGTTCAGACCAAAAAGCAGCTGAAAAATATGTGCATGAATTCAAGGAGTACATAGAGGCTGAAGGATTGAAACCTGAACAAATGTTTAATTGTGACGAAACAGGCCTGTTTTGGAAGAAACTGCCAAGCAGGACTTGCATTACTTAGGAGGAAAAGGCACTCCCAGGACATAAGCCTATGAAAGACAGGCTTACTCTTCTGATGTGTGCCAATGCTAGTGGTGATTGCAAAGTGAAGCCTTTATTGGTGTATCACTCAGAAACTCCCAGAGCGTTCAGGCAAAAGAATATCCTCAAGGCTAATTTGTGTGTGTTGTGGAGGGCTAACACTAAGGCATGGGTCACTAGGGACTTTTTCTATGACTGGTTACACCATGCATTTGCCCCCAATGTGAAAAATTACTTAATTGAAACTAAATTAGACCTTAAGCGCCTCCTGGTGTTAGACAATGCCCCTGGTCATCCTACAGACTTGGCAGAGCGACTTTGTGGGGACATGAGCTTCATTAAGGTCAAGTTTTTGCCTCCTAATACCACTCCTCTCCTGCAGCCCATGGACCAGCAGGTTATTGCAAACTTCAAAAAACTGTACACAAAAGCTCTGTTTGAAATGTGCTTTGTAGTGACCACAGAAACTCAACTGACTCTAAGAGAGTTTTGGAAGGATCACTTTAATATCCTCAATTGTGTAAACCTTATAGGTAAGGCTTGGGAGGGAGTGACTAAGAGGACCTTGAACTCTGCCTGGAAAAAACTGTGGCCAGAATGTGTAGACAAAAGGGATTTTGAAGGGTTTGAGGCTAACCCTGAGAATCCTATGCCAGTTGAGGAATCCAATGTGGCATTGGGAAAGTCCTTGGGGTTGGAGGTTAGTGGGGAGGATGTGGAAGAGTTGGTGGAGGAGGACAATGAAGAACTAACCACTGATGAGCTGCTAGATCATCTTCAACAGCAAGAGGCCAGACCTGATGAAACTGCTTCGGAGGAGGGGAGAGAGAAATTGACGAAGTTGCCTACTTCAAAGATTAAGGAAATGTGTGCAAAGTGGCTTAAAATGCAAACCTTTTTTGATGAAAATCACCCTGACACAGCTACTGCAAGCAGTGTTGGCAACCTGTACACTGATAATGTTGTGAACCACTTTAGGAAAGTCATAAAGGAATGAGAGGTACAGGCCTCTATGGACAGATATGTTGTGCGACAGAAGTCCAGTGACTCTCAGCTGGTCCTAGTGGCATTAAAAGAAGGGAAGTAACCCTGGAAAAGGACTTGCTACCTCAAGTCCTAATTGAAGGGGATTCCCCTTCTAAACATTAAAAACTTCGACACACTCCCCTCCTCCCATCCCATCAATCATCACCAGATCTTCATTAAAGGTAAGTGTCAGTTATTCTATTGTGATTATTCTATTGTTATTATTGTAATTATTCTATTGCATTAAACTTAATATTTCATGTGGTAAATTTTTTTTTTTCATACTTTTGGGTGTCTTGCACGGATTAATTTGATTTCCATTATTTCTTATGGGGAAAATTGATTCGCTTTCCGATAATTTTGCTTTATGATGAGCTCTCAGGAGCGGATTAATAACGTGAACCGGGGGTCCACTGTACCAAAATGAATTTTCCATTTCAGTGAATATAATTTTCAAGTTGTCTTTTCAACAGAGCTTACATGTAGAATAAGCAGGGATGGGAGGCTCGCCAGCAATTTCAAACATCAGCCACAGGTAATGGCATAACCTGATTCTGGCAGTCAGTGTTATACAATCTAGTAGACATATGTTGTCCTTACACACAACTTTCTAACTAAAACAAATCATAATATATGATACTGGTGCTTTCAGATATCAGATATATGTTTTCTCATCTTCCAGGGCTGATAGCTTTCAGTAAGATACATTTCACACTGGATAGGGGATGCTCTGTTGTTCCACCTCTGGACATTTACAAACAGACCTAATTTCTTTATCAGTATTGTCATTATATCTGATTCCTGTGTGGGAAGGTATCCAGGCAGACATATGCATAAGCCTTTGTCCTGAGGGTTCTTCAGGTCATTTTTAACCCTTTCACTGTTCGTGCCGTAGTACTATGGCTTACGAGCCAGTGTTGGTGCCGTAGTACTACGCCAAAATTCTAGCGGCTTCAGATCTAGTGGGAGAAAGCTGGTAGGCCTACATGTGGGAGAATGGGTCAGTGTGCGCAGTATAAAAAATATTGGGGAGCCAGTGGTGCATTGTGAGAACACCATTTCAGTAGTCCTTGTTCAGCATGCCTAGCAGTAAGAAATACCTTGCTTCCTGGCGAGTCTGGGACTCTTTCCAAGTGATGGCTGTAACACAGATGGAAGTGTCAGTGAAGATGAATTTCATGGCTGTGAGGTTTGTGACTGAAAGCAATGCCCAGGATACAAGAAGGAAGGAAGAGATGAGAGGAAGTAAGGTAGGAAGGAAGGAAAGGAAGACGACCCAGACAACCATCAACCTAGGATAACCCAAAAAAGTCAGTGAGACTTACTTCCATGTGGGTGGTGGGGAAGACAACGTGCTTGTTGGGGAAGGCAGTGTAGGTAATGGGTGATGGTAATGCATCATTGTCACACCAGCCATGCCACTGTCAGTACATCCACAAAGAAAAAACCCACACACAACAACATTCCAGAAGCTGTAGCAGTTCTGTGAACATGTCTAGTGACTGTGTGTATATATATTATAGAACAGTAATAATAAACAACTTTTTTTTATTGTCGGTTTGTGTAAACAGGTTTTGTAAACATTGTAATGATAATATTTGTGCAGTTATTGTGTTGCATACAGTGAGTGGATATACATACATTATGCACTATATTGGTCTCATAGGCCACAAAAGTTGCTTGAAAAAATAAAATACAGTGGACCCCCGCTTTACGATCACCTCCCAATGCGACCAATTATGTAAGTGTATTTATGTAAGTGCGTTTGTACGTGTATGTTTGGGGGTCTGAAATAGACTAATCTAAATCACAATATTCCTTAGGGGAACAAATTCGTTCAGTACTGGCACCTGAACATACTTCTGGAATGAAATAATATCGTAAACCGGGGTCCACTGTATTAAAAAATAAAAAAAGTAAAAAAAAAAAGTAAAAATATTACTGAGTGAGTGGCAGTCAGCGATGTTGCCATAACTGGTTCACTTTGTCAACTTCACGCCTCTGTATCTTGGTAAGTAATAATTGCAAAAAAAAAAATTTTTTTTCTTTAAAACACTTACAAAAATATTCTTAAGATTTTGGTAAGAAAAAATAATTTTTCGAATATTTTTCGACATAGAACGAGACTTTAGAATCAGGGGTCCCGACAGTCAAAAGGTTAATGTATGATGTATAACAAAAAGGCACAATACTGCGACTGGAACAATACATAGGAGAGAGAAGCTTACGACGACATTTCAGTCTGGCTTGGACCATTTACAAAGTCACAGTAACAGAAAGGAGAGAAGAGGGCGGTATGTATAGGCCAGCAGACAGGGACGGGACAAGAGAGTAGTAGGAAAGGAAGTAGAGGCAGTGGAGTCAAAAACCAAGAAAGAGGAGCATTGCTGGAGAGCTAGGGACCCACAAAAGATAGAAACAAAAACACTACCTACTACCCCCTTCTCTCTTTTCTGTTAATGTGACTGTAAATGGACCAAGTTGGATTGAAATGCCGTAAGCTCCCCCTCTCCTGTGTGCGGTTTATTTGTATGAGGTTTATTATGATGTTTCTGGTGTCCATTTTGTAAGTAAGATTCTAAAGTGCTTGAAGAGCAGACTTGGAGTCTGAAGCTCAACATTATAAACTCAGGATAATAATTAGTAAGGTGCTAAACTCATATGGGTCATTCAGGGCAAGACGTGGTAGAGGCTCGATTCTGTCTGCTGAGTGCCCGACAGACGTGCTTCCTATTTGTACTTGTCTAGGTTCCAGACAACATTTCCCCCCCCCCTCACTGTTTAAAAGCTGAAATTTATTCATTATACAACACACCCCACCTGTGTATTACAGGACACCTCAACCCAGATCTCAGACTCCTCCTCGAGAGTTGCAATAGAACAGTCACAATACAAGAAATAAAAAAAAATTTCTTTAACGAACTGACCACATCCCACTGAAACAATAGTTTCTCTTTTTAAATTTAGTAATGGATGCAGGAGAAGGGGTTACTAGCCTCTTGCTCCCAGCAGTTGTCCCCCGTTACATCACTCATGGCTTACAGAGATGAATTGTTTTCCACTTCCCCATAGAGAGAGAGCAAGAAATAAGTATCTTAGAGATACCACATGTTCAACTCAGTCCATCTAGGAACTCCATGCAAATAAAGGGCCCTAAAATGTGGAAAACACTTCCAGAAGATGTAAAAAAGTTTTCACTCTGCCAGCTAGTTCAATAATACAGTAGGACTCCTGTATCCACGGATTTGGTGTCGACAGTTTATGGTATGAAACGTTTTACTGTGGCCCAAAAATAACCCTTAAGTTTAATTAATAATGGCCCCAAAGCTCAAAAGTAGTGATGGTGGCAGTTGTTCAGGGTTTAAGAGAAGATGTGAAATGCTTCTCATCAGTGAAGAAGTGCTAATTCTAGACCTATTTTGCATAATTTATCAATTAAACTTCATCATAGGTGTGCATATAAACCAAAAATAATACATAGGGTTCTGTACTATCCACAGTTTCAGGTGTCCATGGTAGCTCTAAGAACGTTTCCCCCTGCAGATACGAGGGGACTACTGTGTTGTTAAACCCAGCTTAGATTAATAGTGCTAATGTCCAATCTTTCAACAGTAACCATGTTGATCCATATCATATTAGCATTCAACCTGATGTTCTCACTATTACCAGTGTGCTTCACTAAATGTAATAAAAAATGTCTTCTAATTTGTTACATAAATTCTCAGAACATCATAAAACATTAACCAGATGGTTATATAAAATATCAATGACTACAACTCATAACATTCTAGCAAACTAACCTAATAATTGTTGAACAGTTATAAGTAAACCTTATAACTGCTTCAGTTTTTTCAAAGAATAAAATAAGAATAAAAATCAGATAACTTATTTCATGTGTTGATATTGGCAAATAATAATGACTCCTTAGCAGCATCAGTGTAAATGCATAGATGTACATATTTACACTAAGTTATGTCTAACACTGTGTGCACTATTATAAGTGTTTCAAGGTGTTTTCATACTCAAAATGCCATATGTAATAAAAATGCCCTCTTCCATTGCAATAAGTCGATCCTCAATTGCAGTTTTTTTTTTTATGGCAAAGCGACCATTTCCCACCGAGGCACGGTGACCCCAGAAAAAGAAGAAACACTTTTTACTTTTATTAATTCCCAACTGTAATAGAATTTCACATGACAGCAATTTTTGCTTGACAACGGTACCTCAGAACCTGACCTGTATAAGCAGGACCCTCCTGTATAAGGGAATTTTTTATTACAATTGTTTGTGAAGTGTTCCTTTACAAAGATTTTTTTTCAATATTTCCGGCTGTTTGATTAAGAGCTCTTCCTTATTGAAAGATTATATCTGAGCAAGATTGCTCTTTTAGCCCTTAAACTGCCCAAACGTGGATCTACGTTCACTCGCATAGCGCTCTGAATGTAGATCTACGCTTGATTTTTACATGCTTTCTTATGTAAAATAACGTAGATCTACGTTTGGACAGTTTAAGGGTTAATTGACCATTGGCTTATTTTATTTTTTTTTTTTTTATTATCACACTGGCCGATTCCCACCAAGGCAGGTGGCCCGAAAAAGAAAAACTTTCACCATCTTCACTCCTTTACTGTCTTTTCAGAGGGTGCTTTACATACAGTTTTTAAACGCAACAATTTACACCCCTCCTTCAGAGTGCAGGGCACTGTACTTCCCATCTCAGGACTCAAATCCGGCCTGCGGTTTCCCTGAACCCCTTCATAAATTTTTACCCTTTTCTCACCTCCAACAGCACTCAAGTATTTAATAAACCCCCTTTAGGTTTTCGCGTACTAGTAGTTTTTCGCGTAGGGGTTTTTGACGTACTAGTCCATAAATTCTAGCGGCCTAAATCTAGTGGGAGAAAGCTGGTAGGCCTTCATATAAAGAATGGGTCTATGTGGTCAGTGTGACAGTCTAAAAAAATCCGCGCCACAGTGCTTATTGGGAAAAAAAAACTTTGCCATTTTTTTTAAATAAATCAGCGACTTTGCAGTGTATTTTCGTATGGTATTTATTGTGTATTCTAGTTTTCTTGGTCCTCATTTATAGAATGGAAGAAAATTAAGAAATTGGAAGATTTTGATGGTTTTCAAAAAAGGTGCCTTGAAAATTGAGCTAAAGTAGCAGAAATTTCGATTTTACCAAAAATTCAAAAGTAAACAAATGTGCCAAGGTGCAATACACGTCACTGGTGAGTCTAATATTCTTTCACAAGTCACCAATAATATTTATAAACCCTTTTTTACACTAATCTGTTGCATAACAGGAATCTTATTTTTTGTGAAAATAAAATTAAAGTGGAAAGCAAAAGAAATTTAAAAGGGGACTTGGACATGATAATGACTAGGAGAAATGTCATTTTTAAATGCCTGGAATGTCTTTCTTGTTTATTCTGGACCCTATTCGGAAATTGCATCTTTGAAAATTTGGTGAAATTTGGGAAAATTGCTAAATTCTGGACCCACTGTACTGGATAGTTGAATTTCATAAATGAGTGTTTCTTGCATCCATTCGATAGAAAAAAATGGAGTTGAGTTCTAGCGAAATATTCATGTTTTTTTGTCACTAGTACAGGAAATTGCCGAAAAAGGGCTCAAAGTGGGCAAAATGCCGATGCGTAAACTGCCGGGACCCCAACTTTGCGAGGCTAAATTTCCCTAAGTTTTCTACAAATTTTAAACTTTTGGTTTTCTTTTTTGATCGGGAAAGATTCTTATCTTTTCATAAGAAAATAATTTTTTTTTTTTTTTTAAATTTGGCCGCCCCCTGAGACAGTTTCGGAAGGGGGCCCGTCCCCTCAAAGGGTTTAAAAAAAAATTTGTCTCCTTTTTCTCCCATCAAACACCTCACGATGCCTGCTGGGAAGTCCCAAACCCTCCACACAAAAACCCCCTTTTCCCCTCCCCAACCTTTCCCCAGGCGACCCCTACCCCGCCTTCCTTCCACTACAACTGAAACTCTTGAAGTCATTCTGTTTCGCTCCTTCTCTCTACATGTCCGAACCACCTCAACAACCCTTCCTACCTCTGGAAACATTTTTGGAAAACCCCGCACCCCCTCCTAACTTCCAAACTCGAATTCTCTCATTATATTCACACCACACATTCCCCTAAATATGACATTCCAGGGTTATTTTATCAAAAATTTTTTTTAAATTTCAGTCATTAAATTTTCTTGAAAAGGGGTTTTTCAAACAAAACTTTGTCTGGCATTCAGGGGAATCTCTGGGCGTATTTATAAGATCATCTTTTTAAACTGCTGTCGTTCAATTTTTTTATCTGCTTTGGGTTGTTTTATGAAAGTTGATCACTGGGATTGAAAATTTAAGTTGGAATGGGGGGGGTTTAAACCCCATGGCAGGCGAGTCCAAAACTCGCGGGCCATTGCTTTAACACTGGGGCCAGTGGCTCTCGTAAGATTCTCTAAAAAATAGACTGATTAGTAAATGACAAAACCACTTCAGCAACGCCCCTCACCCTCTAAATAATATTTTTCAGTAACTCCCAACAAATTTCTCTCATAATATTTGCCCACACATTCCCCTTGAAATCTCCACGGGGTTGTGAATTTTGGCAGTGAGAAGGCCAGGGGCAGCGAGTGTGTTAATATATAAATATTTCAGAGAATTATTGTGAAAATTAAAGGGGTGGTGTGGAGTTACTGAAAGTATTATTCACAGGGCTGGGAGGGTTTTAAGGTGGTTTGGTCATTTTGAGAGGAGGGGACCAATTAATAGTTGGGGGGGGGGATATCAATTTGTAGTGAAGGGGGGTAATTTGGGGGGCATCCCCGGGAAAAGGGTGTAGGGAGGTTTTTTGTGCAAGGGGCTTGGACATAAAGCGGCATGTGTGATCGTTAAATTGGAATGGGTTAAAATTTTTTTTGGGGGCCTTGTGAGCTGTTGGGGGTGTGAGTGGGTATATTTTGTGAAGGGGTTTTCGGAAAAACTGGTTAGATGGACTCGAGTCCAAGAGGGGGGAAAGTACAGTGCTTGCATCTAAAGGGGGTTTTTTGGGGTTTTTTGGCTGCCCAGAACATCAAAACTGTTTTATTTTGCCCCCCTTTGGCAAGCCCGGGAAAACCCCTTAAGTTTTGAAAGTGGGAAGTGTTTTTAAAAAGGGAGAGAGAGGGGAAGGCTTTATTTCCACCTTGCAAAATTTTAAAAAAAAAAAAAAATTAAAGAAGTTTTTAAAAACTTAAAATTCTTTGATGAAAAATAAAATTACTGTATTTTAATTTAATTCTACATTGCGGTGAAAGAGAAGAAAATTTTCCCAATCCGTTCCAACAATTTAAAAAAATGCATTATAGAAAAGTCTACTCCAGTTAAAAAACTGTTTGGGCGGGATTACAATGCAATAAAAAAAATAAAAAAAAATGTTGGCTTTTAAAATTGCAAAAAGAAAAGGGGGGGAAGCAGATTATTCTGATTTTCTCTCATGGAAGTGAAAAAAAATTTTTCCAAAAAAAGGGAGTTCTTAAAGGAAGAACAAATTTGAAGATAAAGGGATAGGGAATGTGGGGAAGATGGATAATCATATTTTTCTGTTTTCCAGTGGGGGAAAAAAAATCATCAACACGGGGTAAAAACCATTTGAAAGAATTTTCGGGGTGTGAAATGTTATCCTTATTTTTTACATTTCCACCCACTTTGTCCCAAAGTAGGAAATGGGGCACTGATTCATGATCGAAAACAAAGGCATAACCTTCAAATACAGTGGGCCCTAAAAAAATCAAAACTGCCCCCAAAACACAATCAATTATGTAAGTGTATTTTTGTAAGGGGCTTTTGTAAGTGTATTTTTGAGGGTCTGAAAGGGGATAATCTAATTTACTTTATTCCTGTGGGAATAATTCATTCGGTAAAGGCACTCAAACAGCCTTTGGATTTAAAAAAGGGTTCGATATTTGGGGTTTTCCACTGTTCAGGTGTTCCTTGTTTATATTGTCTTAGGATGTTTCGACTTTGAGGGTGCAAAAGCATTTCCCCATTTTTTCACATTTTAAAAGACACTTTTTTTCCCACGGGGTCTCCAAAAAACAACCCTGCGCCCTAAAAAAACTGGAGGTCAGTGACGGGAAACTATAAAATTTTTAGGGGGGTGGAGGTGGGTGTAGCTCTTTCCCCGTTACATTGATGCCCAGCCATTGAAACCCAAAACAAGTCCAGTGTTTCCAAATTTAAAAATTTAAAAAACGTTTTTTAGGGCAAACTATTTATGAAATTTCGGAACTGTCTGGAATATTAACAGAAAACGAAAAATTCCCCCTTTTAAATTAAAACCTTCCTTTTTTATTTCTTAAACTATCGAAAATCACAAAAACAGTTATTTATGGTAGGGGGACTTTAAAAATAAAGCTACCCCTTTTACTCGCTATTGTTAGGAAGCTGGGTATTTTCATTTTAAATGGTACCGGGAATCGTTTTAAGTATGTTATTGGGGCTTAGTGTCAAATAGTGCCAAAATAAAAATGGTGGCCCCAAAAACAACTGAAGCAGTCAGTTTTGGTTTTATTTCCAATAGTCACGGAAAGATGGGATCAGTAAAGCACTCTGGGCCCCTCACTTGTATAGAATTTTCACGCAGCAGCAACTCAGCCAACCCCGTGCGGGTTTTTACCCGTTCAAATTGGGGGAGATTTATCGGGGTTAAAGGGAGTCCCGTACCCCTTTGTTTTTAAAATGGCAGTGAAAAAATTTTTATTTAAACCAGGATCATTTAGAAAAGAATTGTAATTTAAAATTTTCTCCCCCCATTTTGGGGTAAACCCTAGATTTTTTCATTTTCAGATATGGTACCCATTTTTTTTATGATGTTTGGGGAAAAAGAGACATGCATCACCATTTAAAATTTTAAAATTTAAAGGTAGTTGATTTTTTGCCAAAATTCTTGGGAACAGACCCGCAAGGAGGGGAGTTTGGGCCCCCAAACCCTTTTGAGAAGGTGTTTTAAAAGGGTGGGGGGTCAACAAGAGAAAAGGGTTTGGGGACAGCAAGAAGAAAAAGCCTAAAACTTCGTCACCCAAACCCGAAGTTGGGCAGCACTGGAAAAATTTAAATTAAAAACTGGGGGAATAAAGGGAAAAGGGAAATTTTGGTCGTTTCTGTGTTTTAAAAACAGTTATAATGAATGGGCCCGGCTTTGGGGAGAACAAAATTTGGGGTTTAAGATTTTCATGGCACGCAAGTGGTGTTACCCGGGTTTTTGAAACGCAGTTTTTATCAATGGGAAACCCACCTAGGAAAAGGGGAAAATGGGCCTTGTTTTAAAGAGATTAGTGACGGTTTAGAGTCTGATATTGATGACCCCATTGGTGTGAATGCAGAGAACAACTCTGAAAGTGATTGTCGGAATGATGAAAACAGTGATTTTT